GTGACTAAGCAGGTAAGTAAACAGGATGGTGGCTGGCTACCTTTTGAGCTGGCCTTGTGACACAAAATGGCTGACATAGGTGTCCTCAGAAAGAAGGGTAATATTTGTCACTTAATTCCAAAGCGGATGTGTTCATCTATGGCTCTGTATTTATTATCAACCATTGGAACCCCTCCTCTGGGTGCCCCCGCCACCTAAAGTTGGCTGTAGGTGTTGGCTGCTGTCAGAGGCACCAACTTGCCCCCCACATTCCTGGGGCCCAGCATCACAGGATGAGTCCCACCCCACCCGGCACATGGGCACTCACCCTCCAGCGGGGAGGGGCATATGCAGAGAGTGCTTTTCACAAGCGCTCACCAGGCGGCTGGGGGATGCCAGGCCCCTCAACATTGGGGGGGCTTGGCCCCATGCCCCAAAATATTGAGGGGTCTGAAGCCCCTTCCCCCCTATATTTGGTGCCCCGGCTGCTGCGGTGAGGACCTTTACAAAGGCGGCACTCCAGCTGTGAGATGCTCTCTCCCAGGGGTTCATCTGGCACCTACTTAGTGGGGTTTTTTAATGCCTGGCTAAGCGGGTGGCACTGTGGGTTAAACCACAGAGCCTAGGACTTGCCGATCAGAAGGTCGGCGGTTCAAATCCCCATGACGGGGTGAGCTCCCATTGCTCGGTCCCAGCTCCTGCCCACCTAGCAGTTCGAAAGCACAACAAAGTGCAAGTAGATAAATAGGTACCGCTCCGGCGAGAAGGTAAACAGCGTTTCCATGTGCTGTTCTGGTTCACCAGAAGTGGCTTAGTCATGCTGGCCACATGACCCGGAAGCTGTACGCCGGCTTCCTCGGCCAATAAAGTGAGATGAGTGCCGCAACCCCAGAGCCGGTCACGACTGGACCTAATGGTCAGGGGTCCCTTTACCTTTACCTTAAGATCTTTCTTATTTTCCCAGGCATTTTAACTTTAAAAGTCTCTAACTTTCCCATCATAAATTGGAATTGCATATATAACATAATGCATAATTTTAATAGATTGTTGGTGTTGCTCAAGAATCTTTGTTGTTGATTTGATTCTCTGCTGGTTTTTAATTTTTTGTTTCTATGGTCTAGATATAACTGTGTTTTAGATGCCAGGGACTCAACCAGGGACCCTTCCCATGCCCAGCCGCCCTTCCCTGATTATTCTTCATCCATGTGGAAACTTAACAGGGGAAGAAATAACACCCCAATTTAAAATTCATGGGCAGCCATGAATTTTGTTCCCAACTTCAAGCAATCCCGCAAAACCAGGATTCTCAGCAGTGGTGATTATTAAAATATTTGTCCATTTTGTGTATGTACGCTTTCAGTGGAACAGCAAGCAAATCACTGTTTATTTAATAAATATTTTTAAAAATACCCAAACTGAGCAACATTCTGTGCTCATGGATATAAATTACTTTCCCTGCCCTACATCTGTATTTAATCAGGATACTACCACTTAATGAGAAAACGGTTCATTTTAGGCTTTTATATGCAAGATCCTAAGGTTCCCTCCTCAGTGATTACATTTAGCAACTCCCTCTCGCTGCCTGGAAGCACAGGCAGTTTTTCCATAATAAAAACTGGATTAGCATGTATCAGGAAGTGACACCGCCAGCTGTCACTTTGAAATCAGACCACTCTATCTTATGTTGGGGATGATAATGGATAAACCAATAAATGACAAGCAGTTTTCCAGTATTTATCTCATAAGTGACCAAAACAAGCAAGCATCTCTTCTCATATAATAGAGTTAAATAAAGAAAAAGAAAAAGGCTTTTAAAAAACCAGGCTGGAGCACCCACCACATAAGCTAGCCACACACAATATTGGCAGAGGAAAAGAGAGCATAGCAAATTGTTGTTTTCCTCGTTGCGTCTCACCTGTTCCTGCCTTCTGTTTCTATTGCATCTGGACTTCTGTTTCATCTTAATACAAAACTCTTTAAGCAGGGGAAGAATTTTGGTTTAATTGGATCATATTTAAGGTCCTCTGAAAAACCAGAGCACTTCTGTCTCATTTCAGCCACTTAATTTTTTAACCTCTTACTTCTGGCATTTGTAAATGAGTGGACTTAGCCAGCAATTATAACAACACTGCCACACTAGTCAACATTGCCATGGTACCCTGTGTTAGCAAAGGAAGCGAAAGCATTCACAAAAAGAGTTTTTGCATTTTGGGGAGAACATTACCAGTGCAGTCCTTTGCACATCTACTTAGTAGCAACTTCCGTTGAATTCAGTGGGACTTACTCTTAAGTAAGTTTATATATAATCGCAGCCAGTGTTCGAAACTCCCATTGTTCTAGGCACATTTTGCGACAGGGAATTTCATTGGTGCGAGCAGTTTCTGAGCTCTGGGGCACAGTACTGCGCCTAAGATTTCAGATTAAAGCTGCAGAGCAGAAGGAAAGGGGGACCTTTTTTCTGCCTCCCCACTTCCAGATACTCTCTGGAGACTGGAGAATAGACCCTCTTAAGACTATGAGGGGGGTGGGCAGGGAAAGGACTAGACCATGTGAAAAATGAACATAATATTTTAGCAGCAACTCATTTTCAGCTTTGTATTCTTGTTATTAAAAAGCGCACCTAGACATTCCATTGTTGCGCCCATAGCCTAGATTTAAGGTGCCATTTAGCTCCTAACTTCCATATCTCAGTTTCTAACACGGGTTGCAACCTAAATAGACAAAAGGCTGTTTCTAACCTATTGGTTTCTAACACTCAAAAGTCAAATTTACTACATTTATATTAGCACATGTAGCATCAATACATAGGATAGCACATGTAGCATCAATACATAGGATAGCCAAAAGAGTCCTGGAATTATATTGAACACCTGACCAATAATCTTTATTATTTTTAATATTATTATTATAATTATCACTATCATTATTTATTGTGTTACATGTGGAATTCTGCACTTCCTGGGACTTTAAAAATACCCCTTTCCCCTAAGGAAGCTGCTCCTGAAAGCTCTCTAAATAGACACTAGTGATGAATATTTTCATACCCACAGCATACAGCGTAATAACAAGTACTATCTAAAATGACCTAAGTCTTTTTATGTCCCCAGTGATTTTATGAAAGCCTTGAAGTGGAAGTGTTTAATGTTTCCACAAAACAACTGAGCTTTCTGATAGACTTGATTTACTTGAATAAAATAACCATACTGAATTTGCATAATGTAGATTCATCCATTTTGCCATGATTAAAGTTCTCTCTGAATAACTGATTCACAAACCAAATTTGAGAATCTGTTTCTTTGGGCAAATTCTTCTGTGCAAGTCATGCAAACCGACACAATTTGCTGTGAAGGTGCAAAGTTAAACTACACATTCAGATGTGCAAAATGCTCTATTAAAAACGCTATATGGATGGAGATTTCACAGGGAATCCCATAATGAATAAATCAACATAGCCCGTTTCAAAGCTCTCATAGGTAATCAATATGGTTTCGTCAATGCCACCTGCAAAACCAGAGCAGAGACTGAAGCAAAGTTTTTATTTCATTTTACCTATTTTATATAAATAACCAAGTTGATGTGTCTGTTTAATGACAGGGAAGGCAGGGAATTAAAACACTGGTCACTGGCAGTTTCAAAAATATTTTCATTGTGATAGAAACAGCTTCTGTTTCCAGTAAGAGGGGCAACACGCAGAAACAATACCAGTCAAAGGAGAGAAGGAGCTAAAAGTCAAAGGGTAAATTCCACTTGCAACATGCAACATATTTTCATAGGCTGACTCAAGAGCCTGATGACCAGCACTATTTAGATTGGAGAAAGGAAGAATTTCAAGAAACATACTTGATGTAGGTGGGGGGGGACAGACAAAGAAGCTGGAAGTATTCTAAAGAACCATTCGTCAATGAGTAATGAGCATGTGTTACACTGGTTCATAAATTTTGTTGTTCTCTCTTAGGGACAGCAGTCTTTTCAAAGTTTTGCCTTTGTTTAGTTGGATGTGTGGGAAGAGGGGGGTGCGGTGGAAAGCAAACTTGTGAAAGAATTTGCTTGTTACATTTTCCCTTACTTTGGAGAAATGTTTCAGTAGTTCAGGATAACACCCAATGAAAGAATGTCAAAGAAACCCCTGATACTACTATTTATTCTATAAACTGAGGGCCTGAGTCTTAGGACTGAAGAGAACAAGATTATTTACACTTTGTAACAGCTGCATAAAATTTAGAAATCTTGGGTAAAGGATTTTTTTAAAAATCAAACATAGGGCTCAATTATCTTCAGAATGGGAAATATATTAAGTCCCGCACTATAACCCCTACAGCGGTGGTGATTTGTTCATGTGAAGAAAAGCAGAGTTGTGGAGCCAAAGAAGCAACTTTTGTTCAGCATTTTAAATTGGTTCTCCCTTAAATTTTGTTTTACATTATATTCTCTATTTAGGAGGAGGGGAAAGTAACAATGGACCATTTGTGGACAATTTTTGTATGTTGGTTTAAATCTGACTTGATTTGATTGTCCTAAAATCCTAAATCAATGTTATGTGTGAATCTACCTCTTTAGATCAAAAGGCACAGGCTGAGCTTTAATACTGTTAATAGCTCCTTGGTCAGGCTTTTCATGTTCTAGGAGTGAGAAAATGGAGGAAGCGACAGAGTGAAGAGGAGAATTGTCCTCAGCAATGACCCCAAATGACCCCACTCCACCAGAAGTCCAAGCACCTGAGGAACCCATCTTGCCAACACCCCTGGGCCAGAAGTGCTAACTGGAGCTGTCCAAGGTCTCACCTCTAAACTGAACTCTTGCCAGAAATCCCATCCTTGGGAATCATATCACCCAATATTTCATTTGCCCTTCTTTTCAAATTCACAGGCAAAGCAATAAAACATTATATTTTCTGAAATGCTATTTTTTTAGATTTTCAATCCTCACAAACAAGTTCAATGTAAAAGAACAACAACAGTAAATTTAAAAGCATCTCACTTCACAATCCTTTAGACCAGGCATAGGCAAACTCTGGCCCTCCAGATGTTTGGAACTACAATTCCCATCATCCCTGACCCCAGTGGTCAGGGATGATGGGAATTGTAGTTCCAAACATCTGGAGGGCCAGAGTTTGCCTATGCCTGCTTTAGACCATGGTTGGGGAGAAGGTAGGTTGGGATCAGCAGCAACAAAACTGCTTTTTTTCCCCCTCACATAAATTTGATTGCTGAATTGGGGAAAAAAAACATAACCAGAAGTGTGGTGATTATTAGTTTGATTATTTATTTAATTTATATACCACCCTTCAACCAAAGATCACAAGGCAGTTTACAATATAAAAAAGAAATACCATAATAAGAAGCAATAACAATAACCCCCCCACACACACAGTGTTTAAAAGGCCAAAGATTGTTTAATTAGCCAAAGACCTGCAATAAGAGGAATGCTTTTGCTTGATGCCTAAAGATATGTAAGGAAGGTGCCAGCGAAGTCTCCCTGGGGACTGCATTCCACAATCAGGGAGCCACTGCTGAAAAGGCCTATTCTTGTGTTGCAGCCCTCTAGATCTCTCACAGAGAAGGCACACAAAGAAGGGCCTTATATGATTATCACAGGTTCCATGTCGGTTCTTACAGAGAGAAGCAGTCCTTGAGGTATTGCAGTCCTGAGCTGTTTAAGCCTTCGTAGGTCAAAACTAGCACTTTAAATTGGACCCAGAAACTAATTGGTAGCTAGTGTAGTTGGGCCAGGATTGGCATTATATGCTCAAACCATCTTGCCCTGATGATCAGCCACGGAATTCTGTACCAGCTGAAGTTTCCAAACTGTCGTCAAAGGCAGCCCCATATATAACACATTGCAATGATCTAAACTAGAGGTTACCAGAGCATAGACAACAGAAGTTACGCCAGGCATCCCCAACCTGCCGCCCTCCAGATGTTTTGGCCTACAACTCCCATGATCCCTAGTTAACAGGACCAGTAGTCATGGATGATGGGAACTGTAGTCCAAAACATCTGGAGGGCCAAAGTTTGGGGGTGCCTGGCCTAACTTCTGTTGTCTATGCTCTGGTAACCTTCTGAATTAGGCTATCCCTATCTAGTTGGGCCATCAGCCAAAGCTGATGGAAGGCACTCCGTGCTGCTAAGGCCAGCTTAACCTCAAGAGACAGCAATGGATCCAGAAATGTGAAAAGACTGTGAATTCAGTTCAGTTCTGGTGCTGAAACAAATCCTTAGTTTCAGAATGTACTGCAAGCACCCTGCTCTTTAGTTCTAACTATCACATGACTATGATTAGTAGACCTTGGGTCTCTAATAAAAAGGGAACAAGCGCAAAGTAGGTCTGACTATCCTGTTCTGCTGGAGCTTGGTAATCACTGAGGAAATGGTAAGCAAAGCCTGGCCAGGTTAAACCAGGGCTGTTGCAGTGGCCAGGGAGCCCTGCTGACTAAGTCTGAGAAAATGTTATCTCAGCAAAACTCTCCTCTCTCAGTGTCTCCCTCCACTCTCCCGGAGAGCTAGCTGCAATTTTTTTAAAGTAGCTGCAATTGCAAAAAAGGGGTGCGGATGGCGCTTTGGTCTAAACCACAGAGCCTAGGGCTTGCCGATCAGAAGGTCAGCGGTTCGAATCCCCACGACAGCATGAGCTCCCGTTGCTCGGTCCCAGCTCCTGCCCACCTAGCAGTTCGAAAGCACAACAAAGTGCAAGTAGATAAATAGGTACCGCTCTGGCGGGAAGGTAAATGGCGTTTCCGTGCACTGCTCTGGTTCGCCAGAAGCGGCTTAGTCATGCTGGCCACATGACCCGGAAGCTGTACACCGGCTCCCTTGGCCAATAAAGCGAGATGAGCACCGCAACCTCAGAGTCGGTCACGACTGGACCTAACAGTCAGGGGTCCCTTTACCTTTTACTGCAATTGCAAGCTCCTGTGCAACTGTGGAGCAAGAGAAGCCACAGATGATTGAGGATGACAGGGAAGCCATATCCCTGGATGAGCATAGTGCACAAACACTGAGTGGGCTGACTTGTGGGTCACCTTGGGGATGCAGGGGATAGGTCACTGACAAGCCTGAAATCTGCCAGCTCCTGCCTTAAACTAAACAGAAGTTGTCTTTTTTGAAGGATCAAGAAATAAAATTGAACAGAATAATGTACAGCAGGAGGATAGTAACCATCTCTTAATTTACCATTGCAGTCCCTATATTTTTGCTATTGCTTTTGCAGAAACATGGAGCAAGTTATACATGGAGCAAATGAACATTTATTCAAAGCTCTCTGCTTCAACCCATTTTATTAAAATCGTGTGGTCCTGACTTGTGTTTTATGTTTTGAAAAAATCAAATTCTCAGAGGAAGAAATAAAACTACAGCAGTGAATGAGTAATTTGGAGAATAAGAGTGAATCGCGTGAAACGGCTTTGCTTTCCCACCGCTGTTTAAAAACAAATAGCGCCTCTCTCTTTTCGCACTTATTCCTTGCCCAGCTGCACCTTTGCTTCCAGAAAAGGATGCTGACTTTGTCCCTGAGCAGTGACTAGCTTGCACTCAGACTTTGAGAGCATTTGACAAAGTTCCACATCACAGATTAAGGTCTTTGTACAGAGATTGAGGTCTAAGAAAAGGAAAGAAGCGGAATGGACATAAATGTAACATAAAATGGATTGAGCATCCACGAAAGGGCAGGAAAGGGGGAACATTCATAAATAAAACTTTGCAGCCTGGTGGGGAAAAAGGTAACAGGAGGGACCCATCGCTGGGTCATCAAGAATAGCCCTAGTATTATTTTACAGGGTTTGGGGTGTTTGTTTGTTTGTTTGAGAGAGGAGTCAGAGAGTTGAGCATACGACCCACTATGCTTGATTGTTTTATTCTCCCCTTACCCTAAGATGAGTTAAGAATAAAACTAATGAAATGATGGTGAAACCAGTAAAGGCAACATCAAACGGAGCAAGAGCTGATGGCAAATATAAGGGAAGAGGAAACTGCTAACAAATGATAGCATTTTAAGAGCAACATTAACACCTCAACCGCTTGCCCATGACCCCACTTCTTAGTGCTCCCCCCTCCCTGCACAACTGTTCTGAACAAATGGAGTCTTAATGCACAATCCAGTCCCCTCTTGTCCGACAAAAGTAGTCATCAGGGGTGGTATTCAACAGCAATCCATTGTGCATTCAATTGGCTAATTTCTGTCTCTCCCTCCCTTTTCTGTTATTTAGCACAAAAGCCACAATTTGATGTCCCCACCATCTTCAAAACTGCTCAAAGTTGTAGTGGGTTGGTTTTTCTTCTTCTTCTTTTGTACCAATGATTAATTGTGCCTGGCCTCCTGTTGCCTGTTAATTGTTTTATACAAGAGGATGATAATATAAGCAATAAGGTTTTATTAATGTCCTAATCAAATATATTGAAGCACATATGTGTTAAATACAAGAGCATTAAATAGGTGATTTTTCTTAAAAGAGCATTACGTTTTAGGCATTGATCTCTTGCTTATTAATCTGGATTCCACAAAATGATAAGCATTTGTTTAGATTGTCTGTAATAAAGAAAAGCTTATTTGCTAAAATATAGACATTACTCTTGCAGAGAGTTCAGCTCCCCATAGACACTACAGTGAACAAAAGAGGGGCTCTCATCTTGTTTAGCACATGTTTTGCTTAATTCTGTAGCATATTTAAAATAAAACCGTCACTCTCAACCATGCCTCAGACAGAATTTTTTCTCATCCTGAACATTTTCAGGGCTGTTAGGAGAAGATGGAAATCAAATGCAAGTGGCAATTTCAATGAAAACCCTTAACCTCTGTGGCAAAATGCCTCTTTTAAGAGGACTTTTTTTATCAAGGGTAAGATGTGAATATGAATAATTTCAAGGGGAAGCTACTTCTGTATGAACTAGGAGCTCTGTGAACTGGGAGACATCCCACTATTACTGAACTCAGTAGATAATATTAAAGTCTAACAACCCCACCAGGGTTTTAATGTGATCAGATCAAGCCTCTCTCCCTGCAAAAAAAAAAAAGAAAGTGCCATAAAAATAACACTTTGCACTTCTCTGTGGTATTTTTCGTCAGGAGATCTGAGAGTACTCTTCAAGCCTTGAATAATTAAGCTTCAAATTATCCCGTGCGATAGGTAGGCCTGCTGAAACACGCAGCACACCAAATCTGACACTCGGGCGCTTCAAGGATTTAGGCTGAGAAACTAAGAAGCATACCTAGGAGATTATGAAAGCACTGCAGCTGCAACTTAGGATGGCTTTGGGCATGCAGTATCTAGCTATTTTCCTCTCTGTGTGGTGCTTCCAGCCAAACACACACACACAAAGTATGGGGGAGGGAGGAGCAGCATGCCTGTGTTCTGCCAACATGCTAGGAATCCTAGGGCAGCAAAAAGCAGCCATGGATCTGTTTCTCTTTTCCTTTGTAAACAGAGGCATGTTGCTGAAGACATACCTCAGGAACTAGGGAATGGGTCAAAGCCTGTATTTTACAGGAGACTTATTAATTACTTTGCTACATATTGTCTTTGTATAGATGGGAGCGATGGGCAAAAGCAGGGATGTGTCCAGCACTTACATCTCCTAGTTTCCAGAGGGGTATCCACAGATAGTTTCACAGATTGTAATTGCTTCACTGACAATTTGATAATGATTCTATACGGCTTGTGCTGTATTTGTGATGTTCTACTATTATGTTCTGCCATGCTTTTGTTTTGTTTTGTTTTTGTTAGTAAGCCACTTTGGGATTCATATGAATGAAAAGGGACATAGAAATATAACCAATCCATCAGTGTTGTTCTGTTGCTGCAAAGGGAACTAAGAATCCAGTGGCACTAGAAAGACTAACAGAAGGTGTTATGGCATAAGTTTTTACGGACAAACATTTTGTCAAAATAACATGGGTGTAGAGTTGGTGGGATTATAAAGCATTTTTTAAAAAAAAATACTTTTCACCCCCATGTGCTTAGGCATGCCAACTTAAAACAAAATATCATCTATCTGGTTAAGTGTGGTCCATGGATCACCAATGGTCCATCACCTTTATTCAGGTGGTCTGCTGTGGGAACTCTGTACAGTAGCAGAGCCGTGTGTGTGTGTGTGTGAGAGAGAGA